TATGTGTCAACCAGGTTAGCTTTTTTAGACGTCTGCTTTTCTTGGATTTTGTTTTATATTGTCCTTATCTAGAAGCTCACTGCCTAAGATTCTTTGTTGCTTAAATTTGGCCAAAAGGGTCTAGTAGGCACTGACTCCCACCTGATCTGCTCATTACTTCCCCCTGACATGGGAAAGAGCAAATTCTCATGATGAGGAAACAAAATGACCAATCAAGAAAGATCTTCAGTCTACGGCCATACCACCCTAAATGTGTCCAGTCTCGTCTGGTCTCAGAAACTAAGCAGGGTTGAGCCTGATTAGTACTTGGATGGGAAAAAGATCTTCAGAGGAGACTGCTCAGAGACAAACAGTTTGAAGACAAGGGGGGAATGCCATCAAAGTTCAAATAGAGTCATTCATGCCAGACCTCTCAAAAATAACCAAGGCTGAGAGGACTCAGGAAATGGTTCTTTATACATGTGTGGCTATCTGGCATTAAAGCCCTTCCAGACACAAACATTCCTGCCACAGCATTGTGCACACAGTGTGTAATAAGTTGCTGATTTTATTTTACATGCTCGTATTTTTACTCCCCAGGTTTGCAAGGTTGCCAGTGATACTAAAAGTCCCAGAGTCCCGCGTCTCTCTTCGAGTTTCCCATAACAACGTTAGCACGCCTGGTTGAAATTTGAATCCTGAAGAGGTAATTTTACAGCCATGTTAATTAAAGTACTATTCACAACAGCCAGGAAGGAAACACAACCTGTCAATGGGTGAATGAATACAAAAAAAAGTGTCTGCACACTAGAATATTATTCACTCTTAAAAACAGGGAAATCCTACTACATATGACAACAAGGATGATTCTAGAAGACACTGTACTAAGTAAAATAAGCCGGGCACAGAAAGACAAAAACTCCTCAATCTTGTATATATAGGATCCAAAATAGTTAAGCTCAGAGAAGCAGAGAGTAGAATGGTAGTTGCCAGGGCAGGGCAAAGGGTGAAGGGGAAAATGAAGAGACGTTGGTCAAAGGACCAAAGTTTCAGTTGTGCAAAATGTCTGGGTTGTCAACATAGCATGTACAAACACAGTGCTACAGCTAGAGATACCATATTACATACGTGAAATCCGCTGTGAGGATGGGTCTTGAATGTTCCCACTACAAAAAGTAATAGCTATGTGAGGTAATGGATACATTAATTAGCTTGAGTGTGGTGATCATTTCATAATGTATACAATATATCAAAGCATGATGTTTTGTGCAATTTAAAAATATATAATCCCTATATGTAAACTCTAAATTGTATGCTTTAAGTATATATAATTTGTATTTTTCAATTATATTTTAATAAAGCTGAAAAAAGAAAGCATTTACAAAGAACCACATATTATATGATTTTGTTTGTCTAGAACAGCCACTCTATTACAGGCAGAGAAAGTAGGTCAATGGTTACCTATGGCTGGTGGGAGAAAGAATAGAGAAAGACTATTAAGAGGATGGGAGTGGGGATTTAACTGCATGATTCACGATATGTAAATTATATCTGAATAAATGTATTTAAACAAAAGAAAAGGTTATTTTTAATGTGTGTAAAATAAAATCAACAACTTACAGGAATTCTAACGGAAGCAATTGCTCAATTAAGAGGAGGACAAAAGTTCTTCCACAGACATCAGGTGATATCTGGCACCAGTATTAAATGCTTCATTTTCTTTTTTTTACATAATTCCTATATATGCTTCATGTGGAAAGGAGTCTTTCTAGCCCACTTTTATTCAACAGAAGTGAAAGGCAAGATATTAACTTCCTCTAAGCCAGAAGTGGGAGCTGGGGAGGCCTTGGTAGTGGCAAAATGGGAAAACCTAGACAACCCATTCAAAGTGTAGATGCGTCATTGTTCGCAACTAATTCCCAGAATAACTGTCTACATCTATATTTAACTGCAAAGCAAAGGGGCTATTTGTGACTCTGCTCTTCTCCAGTCACGTGAATGGCACACTGTGTTGGGGGTGGGTGGGTATTCTGTGTGTACATGCTTTTGTCTAAATAGTTAGAGATATTTGGAAGAAAGTTTGCATAACATGTAAAAATAATCTTAACCTAGCCATTTTTACACATTAATTTCTCTTTCAGGCACTCTGTACAAAGGGTTTCTTAAACAACATGGAAGGCAATCTTTGTAAATTTTGTTTTAAAAATGCTTTTAAAAATATGTATATAATGGTGGTGTGGATGTTAATTTATACAAATTTTCAGAAGCAAAAACTGTCCATTTGTACCAAAAGCCTTAAAAAAATGTGTGAACTCTTTGACCCAGAAAATGCTATTCTCAGAATTAATCAGTAAGCAACTATTCAGGACATGTCCAGAATGCATCCGGAAGGCTTCTCCTTAGGGTGTTTGTGCAGGGAAAGATTGGAGACAATGTAAATATAGGATTTTAAAATGAATGATAACAAATGAATTAGAAAGAATACTATACCATTTTTTAAAAATACGGTCTAGAAGATTATTTCGTGTACGCTAAAATATTTATATTGTCATTAGAATTTTAAAATCCTGCTATAGAACTGTTTGTACCATATCATCTTGGGTTTTGGAGGTGTATTTATAAATACAGACATACAAAAACCAGGATGTACTAGTGGATGCTGGTAATCCCAGTACTCAGGAGGCTGAGGCAGGAGGATCAGGAGTTGACACCAGCCTAGCTACAAATTGAGACTGTATCCCTAAAAGGGAGGGAAGGAAGGAGGGAAGGAAGTGGGGCAGGAAGAAAGGGAAGGAAGGAAGGAAAGGAAGGAAGGAAGGAAAAAATAGGATGTTACCATTAATTCATTATCTGCAAAACAAGTAAATTTGAGTATGAGAGCTAACTGGAGAAAATGGATCACAAATGAAAGAAAAGGAATGAATGAACACAAAAGCAAACTGCAGTGAACACAACTCCTTTTGCCAGAGTTGACTTATCTTTTGTTTTAAATTTCAGTTACAATAGGAGGCCTGAAATACCTTATTAACGATAAGGTCCCCTTTGGAGACCTCAAATGATCTCTGGAGAGCAATGAGCTATTCTGCTTCTTAAAAAAAAAAAAAAATGAGTGAACTTCTTAGCAAGAAGTTTGGATCCAGTTACTGTGGCTGCAAGGCAGCTCATTTGCTGAGTCCATAAAGTTCTCCTGCAGTTTCGTCTACTCCCAGCTCATGATTCAGCATCCGCAGTGCTCAGGGCATGGGCACAGCTGACAGAGCTTCAATCTGTACAAATGCCAGGAAGCTCCATTCCCGCGCTTGATTTAGCATTGCTCACTTTCCAAAGCATTAACTTTTAGGGAGATTCGACAACCCTCAAGACACAGCCTAAGGCAAGAATGACAAACAGTAAGAAAAATATGCAAAAGTTCTTCCTCTGTAGTGTCCAATTCAAAGCCTTCAGGTTACCAATGTGCCCATTGTTAATTGGACAGTTATAAATCCTAAGACATGCCATGACTCCTGGGCAGTATTTACAATTAAGACCATCTATGAACATGTGCTGAGAGGTGATGGATGGAGAGCCCCAGCTCCCGGCTGCACACCTCAGCAGCTCCACACATGACAGGTGCCACTTTTAGGCTGACAGTCTAGAAAAACCAAATGCAATGCTTGTTCCCCGTTTCCCCTCCCAGGCCCATGGTATCCATGGACAGTGCTTAGGCTCAATGGCACTCTCATGGCTCCTACAGATGAGCTTCTTTCTGTAGCCATTCCACCAATTTTCACCCTGACTGGTAGAGACCACTATATTTCTTTACATGCAAATAATCCTCTCCTGCTTTAATTTAAACCTGCTTGCTCCTTATTGATCCTCCATGAAGAGAAGAAAAGCTAACCTCCAACTAAAAGAAATAAAGTACCCAATAACCTTTATTACCTTTCTTGGCCTTGAGCAGGTTTATTTGCCCTCTCTCTGCCTCAGTTTCTTCCTTTGTACAACAGAAAAAATATTCACTTCATAGAATTGTTGTGAAAGTTAAAGAGAAAAGGGCCAGAGATGTAACTCAGAGGTAGAGTAATTGCCATGCTCCAATCTTTTTGAGCATCAACATGACACCACAAATGGAAAATTCTATACCATGAAACTATTTCATGTACAAACTAGCATGTGCAAGGCTGTAGGTTCAATTCCCAGCACAGCCTCCCAAAAAAAAAACAAAACTTGCTGGGCTTAATCCCAGCACTCAGAAGGCTGAGATAGGAGGATGAAGATTCAAGGCCAGAATGAGTTACACAGCAAGACCAAGAGTGCTCCCTAAATCTTACTTGCCCCTCCTGTCCTCTGCCCTTCTTAGGCAACAAAGTCGCTTGTACTAAATACTCATCCTAATAATCCACGTGGTCTGATAACTCAGATTCTGTGACTGTAAGAGCCTGGTTGAGCATCCTGATCTGAAATGTTAAATCCAAAATGCTCCAATCTTTTTGAGCATCAACATGACACCACAAGTGGAAAATTCTATACCATGAAACTGTTTCATGTACAAACTTATTTAAAAAACTGTGTAAAATTACTTATACTTATGTGTATAAGTTGTATGTAAAACATAAACGAATTATGTGGTCAGACTTGGGTCCCCTCTCCAAGCTATCACAGTATGTATAGGCAAATACTCCAAAATCAAAAAAAAATCCAAAATCCCAAAACACTTCTGGTCCCAAGGATGTCAGACAAGGAATTCAAACTTACACTTGAAGGTGCTGACATGGAACTGAATAGCTTTTTGTATCATTACATAAGGTACTGATTGTATAACAAAAACAATAAATATTCCCTTGTCCTGAAGATATAAAATCTATAATGCTATCTCAAACATTTATAAGTTTTAATAAATTTCTCCTCACTAAAGACAGCATCCTTGTAGAGGATGCCGGGTGATTTTATCAAGGAAAACATCAGAACCATCCAGTGCACACTAGTCAGTTCTATGATGGACATATTTATGCTACGTGATTTCTAGACACTTCCAACCATACCTTTGAGTACTGTGGCTTCCCATTTTCATAGTGAATCTCCACATAATCCGAAGACAGCAAACCACTGCAGAGGAAAGAAGAGAAAGTGATTTCTGCATCTAAGACACTGGAGGGTTAAAATAGCTCAATCAGTGGATTTGAGGGCATGCAAGCCAAAAAGTGCTACAGTGCATGGTTAGCACAAAAACAAGTTATCGTCTAGAGTCTCAAACACTGTCCAGTCACAAGCCATTCCTCAGTCCATACAAAAAGACAAGACACAGGCAAATTTAAGGGTAACTCCATAGATTCAACCTCTAATTGGTAAGTTACTTAAAACTAAACTGTAAGGAGAAGGAAACATGCCCTGTTTTAAAAATCCCACAGTTATGTTCTAAATTATTGAAATTTCATAAACTGTAATCATTGAGGAAGAGTATTGAACTAGAGCTAACAAGTGCTTTCAATAAGGGCCAGTAGTAATATTTTTAGGCTCCACAGTGACCTGGTCTCTACTACAACCACTTAACTCTGCCACTGCACTGCATGAACAGGCAGGCAATGTAAACAAATGAGTGTGGCTATACTGAATAAAACTTTATTTATAGACACTGGAATTTGAATTTCACACAGTTTTGTTATGCCATGAAATATTTTTCTTCTTTAGGTTTTTCAACCACTTGAAAATGTAAAAAGCAGTCTCAGCATGCAGACCACACAAAAATAGGTATGACCAGATTTGACCTGTGGACTATAGTTTACCAAGTCCTAATATAATTAATGGCTAAGAGCACAGACTTTGAAGTCAAAGTAGGGTTAAACCCTGGCCCAAGCTCTTACTGGTGCTGTAGCCATGGGAAAGTTCCCCAGCATGTCAAATGGAGATAGTTAAGAGTATGAATCTCACAGGACATTGTGAGGGTTCAGTACAACCATGAGTATGCAGTACTTAGCCCAAATATCAGCACTCAGTGTCACACTGGGTACTGTGGCTGTCACCACTGTTTTGTTAAGTCAAGATCGTAAAAATATACTGTTCCATATACAACGTGTGAAATACAAAATTTGCACCCCTAAAGAGTGCTGAATTAGGGAAGCTGTGTGTTCCTATTTGGCTCTGCCAGCAGGACAAATAGCAAGTGATACTGACCACTCACGACACCCCGGCATTGTTCTGAGGGCTACAAAGGTCTTACTAAACTCTTCTAATCCTAGTGGTAACTGATAGGCAACAGTAAGCCCAACTCTGAGCCAGTTACATGCCTTAAGTTCAGACCTTCATTTCCTCTTCCACAAAATGAAGGCCTGGAGCAGAAGATTCTTCACGTCCCTTCCTGCTCCGACATACAGATTTTCTATAATTTTGCCTAATTGTCAGTTTGCTTGTTAGGAAACCTTGACGTTACTTCTTTAACTGAAGAATGGAAGGACTCCTGAGAGCTGTACCTGATGCATTCTAAACTGATCCCATGGAAGGGGTGGACAGGGGTGACTCAAAGTAGTCAATGGTCAATAGGGAGCCTCCTGTACGCATCCAGCAGTTTGTCTGTCCTGTGGACCCCAGAGGACAACCTTTATAACACTGAAGCAAAGTAAGTGCTTAAATATGTTCCCTATTGCAATTGTGACTCAAATGTGTATAGGTCAATGGTTCTACATTTGAAACTAAATTATGTTATGTCTATTCATTCCCTTTAAAAAATCTAAATAATGACAAAAGTAATGACAATACTTAACTCTATGTACATGGGGAAACCTGACAGGGTGCAGAAACTTTTAATTGCTAGTTTACTTCATCAACTACCAGTGCTGTGAATACACATATACAGGGTTGTTGATGGTTAACACTTCTCTGTGCAAGGCTGCAACACCAAAAGTAGAAAGATCTCCCCAACTGTGTCCTAATTGCAATTCTCCATGGAAATTTGTTGTTTTCAAAATTCTAAACCACACAATCCCTAGAGCATGTCTAGGAGTTGGAAACAAAATTACTCTGGAACACTACTTTTGCTTGTATTTACAATAGTGGATAATGGCATTCTAACCATCCATCATCAAATCTGGTAACGGTCACTTTAATTGTCCTGTTTCCCACTTTTAAAGGAACTCTTTCACCAATGACCATACCTATTTCTAATAATGCCTCCTTTTGAGAATCTTAAAGAAGATAAACAGTAGCTTTTCAGAACGCCTGTGACACATAGACACAGACACGATACCCTCAACCACCTGCCCCTCCTCACCAGGCTACTCCATGCTTCCACCTCTTACAAATAGCATAGACTTTCCTTCTATCCGTCCACAGCCATCCCTCTCTGCAACTGCTTGTTTACCCACCATGTTATCTCTAGCACCTGGCACAAGGCCTCGTGCACAGCAAGCTCTGATAAGTGCCTGCTGAGTGAGCAAACATCTACCAACACCTACTATATGGTGGTCCCAACCTGTGTGCAGAGAAAACAGGGTGAAGAGTGAACTTAAAATTCAATCAAAATCAGCACAAATATGCAAAATTGGTCATCTCGCCCTCAAATACTATTGGTAAGCTCTCTGAAAGTGCATTATAATGCTAACTGAAATATAATCTAAGCAATTATAAAAGTCTTAAAGCAATGCCAAGGTAATAGGATTTTTTGATAATGGACAAGTAGCACTAAAAAGGAAGACTTCAAAGGTTAACGGGGTGGTCCTGCCCGGCTCCAACCAACCAAGCAGGAACATGTGATCTCTATCTCTGTACACCTGCGGATGAGTTGTCTGGCAATCCCTGTGGCAGATGCCTCCAAGTCCTTCCCTCCACCTCTGCTCCCTGTAGTCCCTAGTAGCATTTCCTCTTGGAAACATAATGTTCTCACATGCCAATACTGATCTATTTAGTACCTGTGGGTGCTAACATGAATTGGTGTTTTACTTTGTTCATCACCCAATCGGGTATTTGGTTCTGAAGAATCTAATAATTGTGGGAACTGATAAAAGGAAGTTTGTGAACATCATAAGTTCTAAAATAAAATTTTTTTTCAATAACTTAAGAGAACAGCAAGACTATGGTGCCAAGAATCAGGTCAATGAAGGGAACTGTGGCAGAAATAATGCTCTGTATTCACCAAATGTCATTTCTTCCTTGCCTTCCTAGCACAGTAAAACCACATTTCATAGCTTCCCCAGTTAGATTAGGGCTGGGAAATTGGATTAGGCTCCTCTAGTATGACCACTAAAATCCCTGTGTGACTACCCAAGCTCTCTCTTCCTTGGCAACGCTGGATACCACAAGCTCCAGATGGCACAACTGTGAGATGGATGGATGCAGCTTAGCCTCCTATGACAGGATTTGGAGAAGGGGCTGCCTATAAGAGCCATCCTAGGCAATAGTCAACTTGTTTTTGACCACAATGTGGCAAAAAGACAAAATCTTAAAGCATTAAGTCTCAGAAGTCATCCTTACTACTAAATAGTCTAAACTATCCAAACTCCAGGATTATCTCAACGAAACCTTTTATAAATTTATGGTGAAAGAATCTCATAACCAGAAGCAAATATGCAAACAGGGTTGCTATTGTATCTAGGCATAGGTTTTGCCTATATAGACTATATATCTCTACTGACTGGATCCTTGAGTTCAAGATTATGTGCCTAATGAACACAGACAAATGAAGAGCAAGTGGTCAGAACTTCCAAAAATTTACATCTCCCATTATAGGAAGGCTCATTACAGATAAGCAAGAATCTCAGTAACTAGAAAATAACTTACCAACATTTCCTAAATCCAGAAAAAAATTTAACTAAGAAGGGTAGATAACTTCTAGTTTTTTGGAAAATAACTTCAATCTCTTACTTCAAAAAATTTTTTTAAATTACAAGCTTTCTATGGCCAGGAAAGTCTGGGGATGATCTAATCAAGAAAAATAATTGTTTAAAATGAGACAGCATGGATAACAGGGTCTTGACTCATAGACACTACTAAGAAAGATATGCATTGGACCACGAAGGAAAGCATGTGTTCTGCATAACTTAAAATCATTCACTTATGCTGGGCATGGTGGTACTTACCTGTAATTTCAGCACTCAGGAAGCTGACTCAAGAAGATCATGAGTTTAAGGCCAGCCTGAGCAACATAGCAAGACCTTTTCTCAAAAAAAACAAGAGCTGAGGATGTAGATCAATGGTAGAGTACTTCCCTAGCACATGCAAGGCCTGGGCTCAACATCCACCACTATAAAAAAAAAAAAAAAAAAGCACTCACTCCCATGTAAAAACATAGTCAAACTACCAGTCTCTAGTAGTGTCTTCTCTTCCTAAAATTTACGTACACTGAAATTATGTGTTGTGCCCCAGTCTATCTCTAATTGGGAAACAGAGAGAACAGGCTCTTCTGAAGGGATCTGGAGACCAAGAGCATACCTTCCCAGCAGAACCAGGTAAGTCTGGATGAAAAGAAAGAAGCAAGATCAAGGTATAACGGCTGAATGGCCACATAACTTATCATCCAAACTGGGACATTTCTGGGAGCGAAGAGAAGCATATTAATAATTATGCCAGGACAGTAGATATATATAAACCAGGAAGCACTATTCTGGGAAAAGTGAGACATATATCATCCACTGTAACAACCAAATTTAAGGTACACACATTAAGTTCTACAAGGAGGTTCGGCCAGTCTGCAACGTGAAAAATACTCAAAAGGCTGAGATGCTAAGTAAGCAGCCTTTGTCTCCTCCTCCCTTGATTTTGGGTTCTGTGATTATGTTTCACATGGCCACTATTTTAGGAAGGCCTTGAGCAGGCACCTTAGGTTCTCTCTCTAGTGCATCTGAAGTCCAAGGTGAGGGAATCAGGAAGCTACGGGCTCTGTTCCCTGTAACACACTGGACTAGTCAGGTCTCGACCAGCCATACTCCTTACAAAGTCTTTGCTCTAGGTGAACAGTAGCACAAATATTCTAATACAATTCTCAGTAGTGAAACATGTCAGTTTACTTCTACATCTGATCAAACTGCTGCTGAGATAGAAGTCAAACAAAGAGCAAAAAAAGTAAATGTGTCTAGAAAAGGAGCACCATGCATGCCCATTGTCAGAGCACAAACTCA